ATTCTCTTCAACTTGTGGAAGATAAACGGGTAAAACTTAGGTCTTATTCCTGCCCCAGGGAGTACATGACCTGCACAAGCATGTAAATAACAAGCTGACAAGACAGAACATGGAACAGTTCAGGAGAAATATCCATTGCTAAGTTGAAAGCAGATAGTTGGTCTCATCAAGAAGGGGTCTGGGATAAGAATAATGGAAGAAAATACCAGGGACTGAGCAAAGACTAGAGCTGGTGCAGCCTGAAATATACCCAGAGTCAGGTCTCAGAAAGCTCTCCCCCAAAGGCAGAGAGTGGTGGGGTTTGACTGAGTTACTGCCGTGCAAAGCAGGGAGAAGACTGTCCAGAGAAACTCTACTTGCTGCTCACTGCAGGAGAGCACAGAAGAGAGACCTTTCTGCCTACCTGCAGACTCAAAATAGCTCAATAACTATGCCACAGGGGACTGTTTCCCAGTACCTACCAGGGAGCGAGTTCTGGTGAAGGCTAACGTCAAATATTTGTCTGTACTTGACGTATGTTTGGAGAGAAACTGCACATGCTTTCCTGAACACCACATCACCACCTCCTTTGGGTGGCACTGCTCCCCAAGGCTCTGCCTAGCAGCTGAGGCAGCTCCCTAGGAAATAAAAGCACCTGTTAATGGAGCAGCAGACGCTGCAGCCTACATCAACGATATTCCAGCATGGGAGCAGTACGCAATAGCATTACAAAGGGCTGTCAGGCTAAAGGGGAGCCAGCAGAAACTGGAAGCGTTTGCAAAGCTAATGTTGCTATTAACTCAGCCCAGGCAGACTCCGACACGGTGATTGCCACCATGGCTGCCTCAAAAGCAGGAGGGCTCAGGACTATGCAGAAACAGCGAACGTTTGTCAGCACAAATTAGAGAGTGAGACCAGAATGAAGGAAATGGCTACGAGGACACCAGAGCTGTGCCTGTGAGCACATGGCGTGGTGATCCAGACACCTGCAAGGAGAGTAATTGAGTAGCTGGAACACATGAAGCTGCTACTGCTTTGCAACACTGAGGCTTTTTTTTTTTTTCTTTTTAGTTTTAGAGAAAAGGCAGAAGTCTATCCAAAAACACATGCCAAGGTCAAGACTCAGGCAGTTCTGGTAACAGCTTCCGTTTATAGGTTTATTAGCACTATGTGAAACTTAGTATTACGTTAGTCATTTAGTGCTCCCCGTTGTTGTTATACTTGGCTGGGAGAGGAGGACATAGGGAATTAATACTATTATAGACTATGACATTAGCTGGTGGAACTGGCCGTTACATTGCACAGAGACTGATCTTTTACAGTGTCGCTTTATCAGATAGCAGAAGCAGCAGCAGCTCTGAATTAGGCTCCTTGGCTTTGAGTGATTCCTGACCATATATTTGGACATTGTCAATAACCCTGGAACGGAAACAATTTCTGTCTGGGAAAAAGCGTAAGTCACCTCCACAAAAGCTACTGCTTCTCCCCGGAGAGGGGAGAGAAGGGGAAAAGAGAACTGCAGAAATCTAATACACACGCAAACAAAAAAACAGCGGGAATCATTTAGCTGCATTGGCCAAATGTAGGATGCTCAAATGTTGCTCACAGGGCTGCTTGGGCTATCGAGGCGAGAGGGCTGCTCCTGGCGTGATGCTGAGGCCTGCAGGACAGACCTGCCCGGGTCGCTCATTTGCTCTTCCCGTAACTGAAGTGGGTGGGGAGAGAGCTCAGTCAACAGATAGGTTTTCATACGCATTGGCATGGACCAGGAATGGCATTTTTGTTTTTCACCATCTAGAAGTGAGACTACGGGATTGTTTTCAGTTTCAGTCATTCAAAGCCCCCTTTTTCCCTCCAGAAACATTCCACCTTAAGGGAAGAAAATGCTACAACCTGATTATCACCAAAATGGTACTTTCTTGTATTTCAGTCCAAAAAGCAGTGCTAAAAATAACTGCAGGAATAAAGAGGGAGCATTTCACAGCTGACTTGCAAATAGCAACTGTCATAACTAGCAAGGCCCTGGGGACCAGGGCTGTTGCTGTGGTACCATCTCACACTGACAAACAGCAGCAAGCGGAGAAGATTAACAGGCGACACTTGTCAGCCTTTTGTCTAAAGGGCACAAATTCGCCACCGAGCGAGCGCAGCACAGCCTTTTCAACGGGCAAGAGAAATTAATTATCTCTTCTCTGGTCCTGTGCTTTCACTAATCGTGATTCATGGGCTCTGTTTCACCACAGCTGAATCAGAATGATTTTAATGAAGTTAAAGCCTTTGGGTTTTGCTGTGTTTTCAGTGGTGGTTGACTGTGTTATTGACCTAGAGGCACAGACAGAGCCCAGGGGGTCAGCGGCACCTGCGGGGTGAAGGAGACAAGAATGTAGTGCCTGCTGACCGTGCCCTTTGGCTTTAGGTAAGGAGACAAACGCAGCCGGGGCATCAACGTCAGGACACCCTGGATCCGGGGTCTCTGACACTGCCAACGCAAGTCCAGACAGAGCAGCACCAGGAAACCTGCGGTAGCATCAGCTGTATCAGTTCAGCAACACC